GCTTACCGTAACGAACAGGTCTCATTTTCCAGATAATTTTATTAGTTACAACATTCTACCGAAGCTTTTTCACGTACGACAAATAGTTTCAAAGCTATAAAGCAAAATGTAAAAAAAAATTGTTTCTTTCGTCAATCGATATTTCGTTAAAGGAAAATTGTTTCAAAGTCGCTTATTTTGTTCTAAATATCGTTTCGAATTATATGCAAAAAAATTTCTATTATCAATTTATTCCCGGATCTTTTACGCTTAAGTCGACTGGACTAATAAGACAACGAAATTTTTCTTTTCCTACCAAAAATCTATGTATTTTGTTTACATAAATTTCTAGCGTTTTTCATTGTTAGAGTTTAAGGGAAGCATTAGTATATATAGTTATTACACCATTTTAGCTCGTCGACCTTAAAATGAACTTTTTTCCAAACAACACTCCATTCTAGATTGGTTGATTTTTGGTTGCTAATTAAATTACGGACTATGGGGGTGTCAGGGAATCAAATCCGGGCCTTTTAATTATTTTTATAACTGGGTAACTTACCCACTACTCTGCTGCCATCCAATTATCTATGTACATATATAGATATTTATTTCAGCCTGATGGTCTAGAAATTGGACTTAGTTTTATATAGTTTATGAACATAAAAGAAAACTACAACTAATAACATAAAAATATATCAATTCCTTGGTTATCTGTTTCGTCTCCTCTAAGTACTTTATTTTTATATAAACATTTTCACCATTACAGTTCATGCATCTATTTATTTATTCCACTATTCATTACCTATCTATTATTTAACTTGTACTTTATTTCTCAAAAATTGAACTTTTCTTCACTCTTGTTTTTTGCCACCTTCCATATTTCCACCTTCACCGGGAATTTCCTTGACTTTAGGTTCCTCCTTCCAATCCATCAACGAGTCTTCCCCTTTTCCACACGACGTACTATCGTTTCACCTCCTCTTTCAACCAGAATTTCTCGCCTCTTCTAGGCTACACATCTGGCCCTCACCAAAACCATCCTTCAGTTATCTCGAGATTAATGACTTCGACTGACGATAGCAAGTACTGAAAACTATCTTGCTATTGAGCTAATAACGATAGCAGCAACGAAATTTTTTCACTGATCAATTTTGTCGGCCGGGAACATTAATCTAGATGAAGTAAATGAACGAATCTTTAAAACCAGTTTCACGAATGTCATCTTCCATTACACGAATGAGAAGTTATTGGTAAAAGGCAGCTTCGGTAACCCTGTATTATGTACATCATCTTGTCCCTGGATACATTTGCGTAAATCGTGTTCCGGTACAATTAAACTAAATTCGAGATGTAAATACATTGGTAGCCCTTGTCGAACTTGGTAATTTTTAAACTTCAAATTTAGATCAGTTTATTTATTTATTGCGAGAAGTCGACGTAAATAAATCTGAATTTCAAGAAAATTTATAAAACACGTAGCATATATTTTGTTGAAAATGACAACGCGAGTTTGTGCTCGCCATCCATATTCAGATGCGCTAGTTACAGTAAATAATAACTAGAAGATAGTTCTAGATACAATCGATAGGTGTAAGATGTTCTTTTGTTTTTATCCCTAGTCCATGTAAGAAAGTGCAACAAAGGTTTTTCGGCTCAGAACGGTGTGATAGATTTATCCAAAGAATAAAATAATAGTTGTTACGATCCTACCTCTAAATACAAAAATAACAACATATTTTTCTTTATTTTCCAATTTATCCGGTTAATCGATGATATCCTCCGAATCGGTAATTTATCAATAACGTCAGAGACGCACGTACAGGAAGTTTTATTTCAACATTTCGTGTACAAGACAGTTCCGAGTAGTACAAGACTAATTTCGCATTACGCTCGTGTTTGAATACTTTCGACGTGATTCCTCGTATTCTTGCGTATACAAGATAATAAAGGCTATCATTTATAACCAGATACCTATCGGTATTATTAATGGTAGAAAGAGTAGATTTTATCGGTGCTGTATCCTCTCTTTGGATACGAAATGCCGATCAAGAAGGATCACGTGTGCCACTGTTTCTGCTTAAGTGGCGTGCACTGGTCAAAGCTACTATAATGTATTTATACCTCGTCCATTTTACTGTTCGTGAACCAGTGATGAACGATTTCGTCTCAACGAAGAGAAGCCATCGTTATTTATACATATTACCGTACGAATCGAATTTAAAGGAACGGGTTTAAAGATCTTTTTCTTTCGTTAAGTAATTCCAGTTCGATGATTTATCGCATCTGTAAATTATCTACTCACATAAATTGAATTGAGCGTAATTCGTCGCTACCGTGTGTGTAATCTTCAAAACTCTAGATGCATCGACTCTTCGGATTTTTTTTTTTTTTTAACAAAATCTTAGCTCGTAAGCTGAAGCAGAGATTGTTCGAAATGCTTGTCTTCTTCTCACCTAAGGCTGAATTTTTTAATTACGTTCAATCGTATTTTCCCTTTGATCGTTCTCCGATGATCTCTCAGTAGGTATGCGCAACGATGCCTTAGAATATATGGAAACAACAATTTTGAAGAATATTTATTCACTTTCAATATATTTCATGTATTTAAACGTTATATGTATATCGATGTTAATCGAATAGAACTTAGAATTATTACGATACAATGACGCTTTATCGTTTCAAATAAACTTTTCAACAGTATCCATCACTTTTTATATTTTATTTATTAGACGTTATATACCAATGCCAACGGTTACTTTCATCGAATAAAACTTAGAATTATTAATATCTTTGTTATCACAGCGATCGAAATTTCGATATTATTTCATCGAAAGATGAGCGAACTTATTACTTCGATCTGGTGTATACATTCTCGATCTGTGCAGAATTTAATGACCATGATATCACAATAAAACGGTACACGTGTTACAATTTTTTCTTTTTAATCAATGTTATTGCGTTGTATATCGTAAACCCCTTGTTTACATTTTTGCTCGAAGTAATAGCAGGAGACTTGCCCTAGAATAAATACGAAACTCTTTAAGCAACGATTAACGATCCCTTCGTCTGTATGAACGAGCACAGGGAACATGATCCATCGTGCAAATCCGATAAATCGCGTTAGACATAGTTTATACTGCTAGTAATATTCAACTCAGTCGTTTTAACTCGTTAACTGGGCGATTTTTTAAATAATTAATAGAAAGACGAATTAATCCTACGATCGAATTCTATGCAAATGTAAATGGATTAATATATTTATTATCTTTAATATCAGAGTAATTATGAGATAAAGAAGGAGGAGATAAATGAATTATTAAGTACAAGATATTACTAATGCCAGCGACCAGTTAACTCGTCTTTGCCCAGTTAACAAATTAAGGAGCTACTTATCTTTAGGAAATTAAAAACTACGTATCTTTCAACATGTTTCTGATCCAAGGAAATGTAATTATCAAGAAAAATGCTCATTGTTCAAAATAGTAGATATTTAGGTTTTACAGTCGTGCAAGTTTTGCAAAAATATTATTATTATTATTGTAAAAGTATTATTTGCCGATGCAACAATTCGCAGATTATTTTAATACTTTTGGTATCGCTTTTGACAGTAATCGCTTCACGGTAAAACGTTTAAAGCGCTTAAATATTTGACAGGCTTGAAGATACAAAAGATATGGAAAGAAATTGATAATTTCCTGGATTTATGTAGCCCCTTAATAATCGATTCAACTTACTTCGCGTTATATTTTTTTTTTGCTTGTTTTTATTTTCTCTAATATTTAAAGAATATGAAAGACACATTGTGAAATTAAGGCTTATCGTCTTCTCTTTAGAGTTGTTTTTTTTTTTTTTAAATTATCGTCTAACGAAATCGATCGTATTTTATATTTAACAATTAACATCTTATTGACCGCCAATTTGCATTACAGCAATTAAGATGCTGGTATTTTATTAAGTAGAAATATTTTATTTGATTTCTCGTGGTTTGGAATGTTCGTAAAATATTTTCCACGAGCATATTAATATCTATAAATATTTTACCAATTCCATTTAATTGTTTTGAGCTTGTTTCATCAACGGTAATCGTAATTTAATCTTAATTTTCCATGATAAAGTTATCGTAATTATCAGAAGATCGCTTAGTTAATACTAAACATCTAATAACGTTAATAATAAAATTATCTATGTATAACAATAGAAATTTAACAATTAAAAATACAATATACCACCCCTTGTTCGTAAATTTTTATTTTCTATTACATTTTATAGTTCGAAGTTGGAAGTACGGTAGAATGTAAAAGTATTCATAAATTATCTAATCTAACTTATCCCATGAATCATGTTTCTCGTGAATTTTATTCGCATTTGAACGTAGTTATATCTTTATCGTCGTATAACTACACTACATATAAACAATTCGTTTCTTGATTACAAAATACTCGAACGTCACTTAATGACGTATCGATACACACAATAAATGTAAAAGACGCGTAAAAAGAAATTGAACAAATGTGGGCACATAGAAAGGGAAACTCATTTTCAAGAACACGTTGAAAGAATACAAAGATTAATGAAATATATTTTGAAATATTATTTCATAGTGATATATACTTATGTCAATTCATATTGCTTATCAACTGTTTCTAAATTTTTCATCGTCGTTTGCTTCTAGTACGAAAAATTATAAATAAAAGTTCACACGAGATTACATACCTAAAATAAAATCTACTGAAAAAAAGAAAAATAACTCTTGCAATTAAATTACGTTATACATATATTTACAATACAAGTTCATAATAATTTTAACATCGTAATGTTAAAATATTTAAAAACATGTATTAAAAAATGTCTCGTTTCCTTCAAAATATATAAATATCCTTCGTCACACCCTTTATCAGCTCGCCTTAAGGAATCAATATTATTTCTTTTTTTAAGCAACGTACAGACTATGTCAATTGCCAACAACTCAACAAAAGGCAAAGATGTGTTTTATATTATTAATTTCATATTTTTGAAAAAAGAAAAAAAAAAGAGTAGAATATATTTGTCACGCGCGTCATACGCGCGAATTTCAATTGCGAAATACAATCATAGGAACAAGATCAACGGTCAATAAGACATTAAAATATAACATATTTATATACACATATAATATGTTAAAGATATTATAATACACTCGACTTATATCTTAACGCAGACATAAAATTAACCGTTCATACGAATAACAAGGAGAGTGCTTCGTTATTCTAATCGTAAATCAGAATACAGTAGCACGTTTCGAACGATACAATAATTTACATATCGGTCAATTCCGACAATGTTTTCGAACTTGGCTGCAGATGTATGAAAGAAAAAAAAAGAAAAAAAAAAGAAACAAACCACATACTTCGTCGTCGATTTTTCGATTCGAGAAGGAAGATAATACGCTAAATCTAAAAGGTGTCGAAAGAGTATAGCGTTACATTTGTTTCATTGATAAATTGGGAATGTACTGCACGTAAAAAATCTTGTGTCACTCCTCCTGGATCTCTATTACTATCGTTTCTTAATTATGTTTCCTATTTTAATCGAATACTTTTCATTTCAGACAGAACGAAGTTTCGTAATGCTTAGCTGCACGGACGAAACTCGCAGAAATTCCTCTGACATTGTCTCTTAATTTTAAGTTTTAAACAAAGTACAGCGACGATCGTTGATCGTAAAGATCAGTTTTGTAATTCGAGTAGCTCCTCTCTTCGTTTATTTATCTCTCCCAAAAAAAAAATCCACCATCTCGTTTTTCATTTTTACAACATTACGGAGAACTCTTTTCTATTTAGCAGCGTTCCGTTTAACGTAAATGTAGTTTCCTGTAAAGACCACATCAATTATCTATTTCTATTTTTTCATTGTTCCAAAGCATTTACAGATTTAAACCGAAAGTTTGTTCCAATGATATCGAGCCAGATAAAAATGATACGAATTCTACAATACGTGGACTCCTACCACAGACACGAATCGGCTTGGAAATATGATGGAACAAAGCTTGCAAATTATTATTATTAGCTTACAAGGCAAATTATTTTCTCTCAGAGAATATGGTCATCGTATTTATAAACCACGTACGACTGATCTTTAAGTTTTACAATATATAGATAAAAGTGGTAAAAAGCGACACAGAAAGTTCGTTGGATTAGTATGATACGGTCTGCAAACGCAGAGCAATTCCATATTTTTCCGTTTAATGCGCGCGTAAGCATTGTTACGTTATACATACGGTTGATTGTAAGTAATCATTAATAGTATCTGAAATAAGTTTGAGAGGAACATGAAGCGATAATATTCTTGGTAATTAATTCGTAGGAGTGCGTTATTAGAAGCTACGATTGCGGTATTATTTGCGGATGAAAGCTATCGCTTATGAGAGTATTATACACGTTAGGCTGTTCGTAAAGTTACTAACGGACAACCCTGTACATCTGCAATTCCAGCAAAAAAGGCAACAGCGTTGTCTTCGAGAGCAAAATAATTTTAAAGACGTACGAGGATGATCGTCTCGATTAAGAACAATCACGTTGCTTTGCGATTGGTTGTCTGAAAAATAGATTAGAGAAAAGCAAATGCTGCGAAGGAAATAGTAAGCCGTTTAACGATTCATCTAGTTCGATCGAGACTATATACGAAACTCGGATATTTTGCTAGGAATTTTCCGGATGCATCGAGCACAATTTTATTTTAATACAACGATTCGATTTAGAAAGGAATGGCGAAAACCTGAACGAATAATGCATTTACACAAGATTTTTTACTTGAAATGAAAAGAAAAATGAAGAGAGAGGGAGAGATTTGCTCCGAAGAATCTTTGCTTTCGATTATCGTGATAGTGTCGCTATAGTTAGCAAAGTAGTGGCCATGGGTGAAGACAGTAATTGAAATATCACTTATTGGTCTCTTTCTGACATCCTTTTCGTTAACGAATCGAATATACGATATATATACGATGTATATATATATATCCTTTATAAAATAAATAAAGATTTCTATCTTAACATATAAACGTACACGGTTTTGTCTACTACAACAGTGTACAGGTACACAATACTTCCAGTTGATGATACAGCAATGCCGTATAGTAGAACATCACGGTTCTACTTCTACACAAGGCGAGTCACGCAATTATTACAAATCGAACTATCGCGTTGAAACTTTCATATCACTGTACATACGATTCTTTTATACACATATAGGGTAGACCTTGAATATTAAGGATCGTCTCTCCTGTTTCTTAACTTTTTTAAAAACCTTTCCTAAATGGATTTTCCTCGAGTCCTCTTTAACATTCTGTATTCAATAAACTATTTAAGAGTCCATATTTAGACATTCTTTATTTAGATATATTAAGACATTCTTTTCTTATTTTTACCTATGCAGTATTCTAACGTCGTTTCTTGTAAAAGAGATTGGCACACGCTGCAGTCTGGTGATACTTTGTTTCACAGGAAACCCGAAATATTCGAAGAGGTTCGCTTCTTGTTCGCCTGTCTGTTATTTTTCGATACGTTTTTAAATAAATTGTCCAACCTACAGTTCCATAATATCTCGTTCCATCGAATGAAACGGTGAAAGATATTTGGCTGTTGTAACGGTTTACGTGGCTCGCCTTGTGAAGCTTCAAAGCACCATGCATACGCGTACATCATACGTAAATCGTACGATATAGGTACTATCGGTATAATTATATCGAAAATGATTTAGAGACGTTAGCACGCATACCTAGTACGTCGGCTATCCGAATTACGTAAAAAGTTTTAATAGAAAATCAATGGACGAGAGGGTCGTCTCCCAACTTTTCTGCTTTTTCCAACTCTTTCCTCTCGTCCTCTAAAACGCGTACATCTACTGTATAATATTTAAGAACCTATACTTTCATAATCTAGAAATGTATACAGATTCGAAATGGTTTTACGATCTACAATTGTAAATTCAAATAGGATTATACATAGCTCCGTGGAGTTTTTCTAATTTTTATTACTAATTCGCTTACTTGCTCCTTCCTTTTATTTAACTAACGATCTTTACTGTAATACTTTGCATTAAACGTTCGTAACGAACAGTCCACTTATTATTGCATCATATATTTGCTATTATAACAGATTCCATTGCTTTCGCGGGGAACCGGAGATTCGAATAAACGCGAATCTCTTCACGCTATCGGAGATCTTTCTTTACAGATATCTTTTTTTTTCTATGTTTTCTTTTTAAACATATTCTTAAGATAATATTGTGCAAATGTATTCGTAAACGATCACATTGAACGAAGAATCAGCAGACTCGATGGAAAAGCGGTACAAGCGTATCCTTTTCTTTTTTAACAACGATACAATTATTTTTATGGAGCGAACGAACAGATTGAAAGAAATAATTCAACCCAAGTTGCGAATTTGCGAAACGTATCTGTACTTTTAGTTATTTCTTTCTATCGTTCTTCTGCCTCTTAGTAGCTTATACATATATTAGTCTTACTTTGTGTAAGATAATTTGCTGAAATTGTTCGACGCATACAGACTTTTCTATATAGAAATTTATTTCTATGTATCTCACTTGTACCATTTTCCGTCTGAGCCGCTCAATTATCTATATTTAAATCTACGATAAACTTGCAAACCTAACAATACGTACCATAATCGTCCAACAAGCAACGAATGATATTTGCGTGCTTCATCGTGCATCTTCAATGACATACTATAATATAGTATACGTGTAGGATAAAAAATGGTCAATACTGAAAATTTTGCTACCTCTGCGACCTTTTCAAGAAATTCGAGACTAATTAAGCGCAAAAAAAAAAAAAAGAAAGAAGAAGAAAATAAAATCGCCTTTCGTATCTTAGCATATGTAGTACGTTTTTTTTAAAGTTAAACAACTTTAGCGTAAGTAGGATCAAGAGCACCAGATACCAACAAGAATATCTACGAAAATATAGTACAAGAATAAAAATGAACGTTAACACCGCGTTTGCCTGCTCTGCTCTCCAATTAAAAAATATAGCGTGCCTTCTCGCGAACAACGAGCAATATATCCTCTACAATCGGGGGAAAAATATTTGCTCGCTTACTCTTTTCTCCCTGTCTATAAATAAATAACGCTCAACAAGAAATAAATACATCTTCGCTGAAACTACAAACACGGTTGCATTGCCTGTACAAAAATTCTCGCATTAAACGCGACTATCGATAAAAGATTAACGATATTTGCCTATCATTGCGCCAACAACGAATTATACGTATAAGCAATAATTCGGTTACTCGTCGATAAAATCGGCTAAAAAATAAAGAGAAACATCACCATCTAAAATAGACATAAAATAACAAGAACCAGACCTGTGCTAGATCTTCCTTGAACGGACAATTTGGACGAAATAAGGGATAACGACGACGTATCGATAACACGAACGTCCCTTCAACAAAGCTAGGACATCGACAAGACACATATAATATATGTATAGTTCGCTCTTCGCTTCCACCAAAAGAGAAAAGTAGGAAAAAAGAAAAAAAGAAACGAAATACAGGTTGTCCCGGTAACCATGATACAATCGGCAAGGGGATGATTCTACGTGGAAGAAATAAGTCGACGATATAGAACGAAATTTATTTACACGGCGCTTCGTTTTCGATAGAATGGAATTTCAGAACGTGTCGATATACGAGTTTAGCTAATTACCGATAAATACGAATAAACGATCGATGGCAGATCGTTGTATCGTTACGCGCGGAAAGGAGCGAAAAATGTTCGAATAAAATCGATCCGGCCTCACGAGATTTCACGAGAACAGAGTTTCCACGTGTTTAATTGATAATTGATAAACTTCCGAATTTCGTTTTCACGGTAACGAATCATCATCGTCATGATGCGAGAAAATGTTACTTTGCACTTTCCACTTGTTCTTCCACGTAGAATCGCTTGCTTATCGATTGCATCGTTAAAGGGACACTTGGGACATATAATAAAAGATGATAGTTTGTATTAAAACTGACCACAGAAGCTCGATGGAAAGTAGAGAACGTTGATAAAAGAAGCTTCGTCGCGAAGCATTAGTATGAAAAAGAGAAATTCGTACGTCAAATAATCCGTTCCATCCCATGAAATATTGCTGCTTTTTGCTCCTTTCTCTTTGTTTTTCTTTTCTTTTTAATTGGAATACGATCAGCATGGAACACCAGCCGATGATGATTATGATGATTATGATGGATCATGTTGAAACAGGCTACGTCTAGAAGAATCGCCGAGAAGGTGGGCGGATGATGAAGGGTCCCCAGCAGCGCGTAAGGCAGTTTCGCTGTCGAACAATAAAATTCGCGACACCAACATTCGGACACCGTATGTTTTTCGTATAACTCGACTTCAGGCGGCCAGTAGCATGTGCTTTTGTTCCCTGAGACCAGACTAGCTCCCCAGAGACAATTAGAAGACGAGTCACGGTCTTGGTGTGGTCAGCAAGCGAAGAGCTAGCTCGTTAGGTCAACAGTTGCGATTAGTAGAGCCATTATTCACCTGTGTACCGCCCCCTGTTTCGTAATCGGCTGCACGGTGTTTCTCATCCATCGAGCAACGACTCCGATCTTTGAACAGGTTCGCCACGCAGTTCGCCTGCAAAAAAATCATTCCAAGATCGACTGATTATTATTAGCCGTATATTTGTCCGGGAATTACGCGAGACGTTCAAAGGCCACTATCGATCAACTCGGTAAATTGAAAAGCGAAAGAAAACGACGATGTCACTTGTATTTGAAATTTACCAAACGCTATTTTTCAAGTTTGTCCGCGAACTTGCGGAAGTACTTTCTTTTCTTTTCTTTTCTTGTTTTGTTTTTCTTCGTTTTTGAATTGGACGTTAATCGTGCAGGTGGAATTGAGGAAATTGACAGAAAATAGAGTCGATCAATTTCGCTTCTGGGAGACTCGCATATGTCACATATATAGATCACACGGCTGCAAACACGATAATCCACGATTTGTTCATTTTCTAGCACGTGATATCATACAACGAAATAAATCACATTTTCTGTTTTACACAGGGAAGCTGTTTTAAATTTCGATGTTCGATATCGATCGATCTTCTATTACCAAAATTGTCCCTATATTTGATTTCGTACATTTCGTTAAACGTACATTTTCGCATTCTCTTCGAAACGATCAAAATATTGCTGGTCGTAATATAACAACGTTAAAACGTAAAACGTTCTTTTCGTTTCCAATTATACCGCGTTAAAATTATCTGCCTCCTAATCGCGAAGCGACGTTAAAATAGAAAAATCAACGGATACGTATTCGCGTTTCTCTGCTGTGGTTTTCGTGCACAGGCTGACCCAGTGAAATTTCCCTCGAATAAATAGAATGCAGATGAATTAGAGCTGCATCGTATGTACGCAGAGCGTCTCGGTATTGCCGATTAGTTTCCACGAGCGAATACGGCCAACGGAGGTCGTAAAAGTTCGAACTCGATACATCGTATATTTCATATTCACGATCGCGTGTAATTTATGATCGCACAATGGGATAGTTAAGGAGAATAATACTCACCACGACTAGTGCCACGATGGTACCAAGGGTCGAGCCGGCCAGAACATCGCTCCAGTGATGTTTATAATCAGAAACTCGTGACAATGCCGTGAACCAGGCCATAAGTATACACAGAAGTTGCAGGAAGTGTTTCAACAGCTTGCTACCCTTCCATGTCATCCTTAATTGTAAGTACAGCTATAGAACACCATAGAAACAAAACAAACATAGAGAAATTGCACACACCATCGAAAGAGTTATTATGGAAATGGAACGTTTTTTGTCCTCGTAACGTGGTATTGTCAACGCTGTAAAAAAGCAGAGAAAGTAAAAGGTGTGTGCGATGCAATCTGCGAGATAAAGGCGAAGCACAGTAGGTTGGCGATGATGAAACGTGGTTTTTCGAAAGTATGAAATTAGCCAATCGTGTGTCACGCGTACGTCAATCTTTTCAACAGCGAATTTAACTCTACCGTCAGTCTCGTATTTTCGTATCTCAATTTTCCTCTTCGGTTCCAAGCTAATTACAATGGAAAAAGATGTTCGACGTTGTAAGAAAATATCTAACGGGAGATGACGCGCGTCCAGTGCCAAGAAATTCCACGGTAAAACTGTTAGTTTTTTCGTTCGGTTTTCCGTTAGTCGAAGGTACCGATCGTCGGGATATTTGTGTAAATTTTTTCTAAATCTGAATCTGAGAAATACGTTACAAAGGCTGTTGGAAGTATGAATTTAACACTTGACAAGAGAGAATATCGTGTAAATTTACGTACAAATGTTAGGACATGTGAATGATTGTTCAAATAATGTCGATTTGTAGGTGGAATTTACAAGATTGTTGATTTTCGATCGTTGATCTTGCGAAAGAGGAAAAAGATGGAAAGTACCATCGATCAAACGATAGTTCGCACGATGTTGATCTGTGAATGGAATTCGCGAGACTGTTGATTTTCGATTGTTGATCTTGCAGAGAAAAGCTGGAAAGGGGCATCGACGGAAACGTCTCGAAAGAGATTATTGGGAATATTTCAGGATAAACAACGTTGTATGGTTATTCGCTGCAAATAAAGAGAGTGAAGAGGATAGACGATTGGATGCTGCATAAACGACGGACAGCAGTTGAAACGAGCGGTGACAGTAGCGTCGTTATTCTCAAAAAAGAAATACAACGAACTGAAAATAATTGTCGATTTTCCACTCGTCATTTATATTCATGTATTCGTAATTATTTTCGAACTTTTGTCGATCTATTATCATATAAATTGTTTTCGAGTAAAAAAATCGTAAGAACGCCGGAAAGATAAAAATATATAGAATTCTATTTAACGAAAATTACGATAGCTTCGAATTATATCTTTAAATTATGTAAATTGCAGCTTCTTCGTAAAACAATTATCGTTAGTTAACGGTCGATACCAAGTGACCATCGATATACATAATCATTTGGTTAAATTTTCGTAAAAGTAATTGAAAAATTACAGGCGCGTTAACGTAATAATAAACGTTCTGTATGCCAATGATGTTGAAATTAAAAAGGGAATAAATATGCACAAAGACGTCATATAAGGTGGATTTTTTACGCACGTTACGTAATGCTTGATATCATAATGATACACGCGTGTAAAGAAATAACAAAAGTAGTCATTTACACACTTACGTTATGGTACTCATTTATTTCTCTGAGTTCTTCGCTTCAGATATAGAGAACGACACAAACGTTAAATAAGCATTTCATAATTTTGCTCATGACAAAGTAAAAGAATCTTATATCATACCCTATAACTTGCAACCAGCTTGGAAAGTAAACGCTGAACGTAATTAACAAGAATGTGAATTTTATTCGCTCCATCTATTTAAATACGATTTTTAATTTCAATCGATGGTTTCTGTCGTGTATATTTTGTATTTAAAGAAACTTAAAGAATTTGATAAGCGTTAAATCTCATCCGTTATCTGTTTAATTGGCAATTCATATGAATCACGGAACAGATAATACAAGATAAGAATAATATTTTAGATCGATAATGTACATGAAGATATTTTCACTGCGTGAAACTAACGTTGCAAGCAAAACACGAAACTTTGGTCAAAATAAAACTACGCGTACTATTTTCTTTTTCCAAACACATAACGTTTAATGAAAATAATTCTACGTTTTAATTTACGAAAATTTACATATCTAACGAGTACGCGTAATTATAAAAATCATCAAGCACTATAATGTAAAAAATCACAGTGAGCTTGGGATCGACTCTTTTTACTTCCAACTTAGAAAATAACGGAAAATAAGTAATTACCATTCGACTTTGAGAAAGAAGATAAAAATTCCAAACCATTAAGCAGATATCCCGTTGCTGCCATTCAAATTTCTCATCGTAGAAAAAATAAAAAAATGAATCGATAACGGAATCGGGCGATCGTACATAATCATAAATTCGAAGAAAAGACGAACGAAAAGGAGGAACTTACCGCGAGGTAGATCATCGTGTAGGCCGAGAATGACGAGTGTCCTGAGGGAAAGGATAATCTGAAACGATCAACGTTATAAATTATACCGTGTCAAATAAATTTCATACGTTGTTCCTATCAAAATTTTTCTTTGCTCAAAGAAAAGCTACAGACAAATTTTCTTATCGAAAAACCGTATTACTCATAAATAGATCGCGGATGTTCTGCAGCTTTATATATTTATAAACATATATTTCTATAAATTTACTCCGCATATTTATATACAGACTTTCGTACATTATATACATTCCACGAAGTTCTGTACATTGAAGTTTCCCATAAAAAAAAATTTTTCTTTGCTCAAAGAAAAACTACAGAAAAACTGTACTACTTGTAAATAGATCGCCGATGTTCCTGCAGCTTTATATATTTACAAACACATATTTCTGTGAATTTGCTCCGCATATTTATACACAGACTTTCGTGCAATTACGTACATTCCACGAAGTTCTGTACATTGAAATTTCCCATAAAAACTGCATAAACATCAGCAGTGTGCTCGCGAGGTATATTAATATGTTTGACCAATTAATTAAAAGACAAGAAAGGATTGATAAGTTTGTATTTTTAATATTATTAATCGATCCTTAACAGAAAGCACGTTGTTGATTATAATATAATACATCAATTCTGGGAATATATATAATAAAAATGCCTAATACGATAGAAATAAGGAAAAGATTGAAAAGTTCGCGGAAGTTTGTATGACGTCGATTTAGTCTAACAAAGATCGCGTTATTGGTCACAATATAATACGCCAATTTTATAAATACGATATATCGATAGCCAAGATAATAAAAACACAAAAAGAGTCTAACCAAGCCAGTACACTCATTTGCTGATGAGATCCATTTATTATTTAATTACCAAATTTATCATTGGAGCGCGGATATTTAGGCGAATTAAAATTCCTTTTAAAGAAATGCAAGGTAAATAGAAATTCGTTTCATTGTCCAAATATCATAACGGCTCCTGTTATACGCATTGTGCGCGCTCTTGTACCTTTAAATTTCGCAGAAATGCATAAAAATTCGCGGTTTATGTTATCACAATTACTTGCAGAACGCGTTGTGATACTCCGATACGTTCAACCAGCCAAGTTTCTACAAAGAAAGGATGGAGAAGTTCACGGAACCTTAAGCGATGGCAATTGAATCGAAAAGAGGTTACAAGCCAGTTATTATGCTTATAATATAATACATCAATTTTATAAATATAATACAGCGACACATGTACAACAAAAGCAGAAGAAGAGCCTGCTGTTCCAGGCAGTACACGCGTTTGGTAATAGGACCCTATTAATTTTATCAGGATTAATTCCAGGGCGTGTTCCGTGGCGATTACAATCGAGCAACGCGTACCCCGAAGCGTGGATCGTAAAGATTCGGCGGAAGATGTTCCGATGGGAGTACCGAGACGAACAGCAGGATAAAAGAGGAAGAGAAAGAAGGCAGGGGCTGAGCGAACTCAGGCTTCTATCTGTAAGAGTAATTGGCCATCAAAAAACTGCACCTTTAATCGGACATTATCTACCCTTTCCCTCTATTTATCTTTCTCTCCTTTATTTTCTCTTTTCTGCGTCGGCGCCGCGGCAATATTTGCCAAGCTCGACTTTTTAGTCCCTTTTAATGCGTGCTCGTGGGCTGTTTCGTTCCGGTCGATTGTTTGAATAAGTAATTATTCGGGGAAACTGCTTTCCCCTGTTCTCTTTCTTTTATTCTTCGATTAAGATGCGTATCTGTCGTGGAAACTAATTTACCTGCTGATAATTGCAGCATTTATTAGCCACTTCAGATTACTGGAAGATAAAGAGGAGTGGAGATCAGGGAGCTATCCGCAGTGAGCATTTTATCGCTTTATTCTGCTGGTCACGCGGTATATAAAATGTAATCCCTTTTAATACCGTGTGTTTTGAATAATCATGTAAATAGAAGGAAGACTTAGTATTACACGTAATAGCTTCTAAACTGGAAGAATTTTAAGTAGAATAGACATTTATAGTCGGACAACGACGCGTGTTCCTCCGGATGTTCACTGTCGCGGATAAGATCGAAAGCTTTCCGTCAATTTGTCATCAGAATGTAAGATCTGTTTATAAAAGAAACTTTTATCTTTACTTCTCTACCGTTGATTTCTGCCGTAGTGAAGCGCAGAGTACAAATTGAGATTATACAATCTGATTCGAATCTAATCCAAACAATTTCAATCACCTGCGAACCGACAGTGTCAGTGGAGAAATAAAATACGCGGAGTAAAATACGCGCGAAAAAGAAAAACAAAATAAACATACGATATAGATACGAATATACAAAAATAAACACGATAAAACGTATTACTACCGGGTGTCAAAAGTGATAAGAAGTTGTTGAATAACCTTGATATTTAAGGCACTGGCAGCAAACTCAACAAAGCCTGCTATCTTCCAAACATATTCGACGCTAACAAACGAGACAGTTCCAAACGTAATAACATAATGGTTTCTAAAAAACTGGCATCCTAACCGACACCGAATTAAGGCAATTCGCAGAAGGCACGATGAGCACGAGGCTAAGCGTGGTAGAAGTACTATAGTCCGGAAGATGAGGAAACGCTGGTCCCCTTTGGTTGAACGAGCCGGAGGGTGGGACGTATGAATGAATTCTCTGTCAGTCTTTTATCGTCGATTCTTCAAATCTTTCTATACATAAAACTGTCCCAGCACACGCAAAGGGCGGATGAACCGTGATACACTTCGGTGCGTCTACACTGTCGGTCAAAAGTTAGGGATCACCTGTTTCGAGGTTGCAACTACCTCGTTGGTTTCCATCCACGAACGAATCGACAGAAATTGTCAGAAATAATTATCAGTAGAAATATTACCGGATTGATAATCCTAACAGCGAACATTATTCTTTTTACGTATTCGTAAGATAAAGAAATATTTTGTAATTCAACTTTGACTAGAAGATCGTTGATCGACTAAAGTAGACCAAAAGGTTATCGATTAAATGAATGATAAGCGCAAACAATAATCTATTCTCGTTTTTTAATCCATTGTCGTGTTTATGCGCGTTGTTCTTTGTGTCCCAGTTCTTTCGTTGTCAGCATATTTTATAGGTCAAGATAAGGAAAAAATGCCATATAAGAATATGTCATTGAAAACGTTGTTAAAGAGTTGCAGTAAAAAAAAAAAAAAATAAAGAACGACGTACGAAATGAGCGATACCGAACGTGCATTGCCGCCGCACAAAGTACGAATAGATCAGGGACATTTACATATAGTAATAATCTCAAGGTATCATAATACTTGTACGACTTCAACTTCAACGCAATAAACGAGAACTGCGAAGAATAACAAATTCAATCTTTTGCCGCTGTCACTCTTGTATTGACAGGAATGGTAATCATTTTGAAATGGAGTTGTAGCTGGATCTATAGAAGAAGTATTGAACATAATGCTTCGTGACTACTACTGTATGTAAATATGCCTGATCTATTCTTATCTCGTGCCGTAGCACGTTCGTTACCGCTCATTTCGTATACCGCTTTTCCTTCTTTTTTTTGTATTATATCTCCTTAACAATGCTACCAATGACATTTATTTTACATACTTTATTTTTACATTTTGTATCTTGACTCGTCGTCTTGTCTTGTCCTGTGGAATATAGCGACAACGTTTGATCGGAAAAAATTGGGACATTCTGTATAAAACTATCCAAACAATACACGTTTCCGCTATTGAACAATTGAATATATCATTGTTTGTTGTATTATCATTGTTTGAACTTGTATATTTCATGGATGGATAAATGTAAAACCACGTAATTTACGAAAGGAGCGTAATATAACGTAAAGATATAACGCGCTGTAATGTAATGTAATACAGGCTGGTTGGTAACTGGCGGTACAAGCGGAAAGGGGGTGATTCTATGCGAAAAAATAAGTCGAAAATATAGAATAACAATTTTTCGTTCGAGGCTTTGTCTTCGAGAAAATCGACTTTGAATTTTGGCTCGGTACGCCTGCACTTTATCGCGTCTCGTTATAACGGATCTCACTGTAGATCGTTGTCTCGATTGACGTTATTTTTTTAATTTTTAAATTTTTGAATTTTTAAATTTTTAAATTTTTAAATTTTCAAATTTTCAAATTTTCAAATTTTTAAATTTTTAAATTTTTATTCTACATTTTCGACTTCTTTTTTCGCGTAGAATCACCCCCTTTGCGCTTGTGCCACCAGTTACCAACCACCCTGTATAATGCGAGGACTAACGATACTGTCGAATAATTTCAATTTATAAAATAAATTTAATAATTGATAAAAAGATAATCTTTGTCAGCTACTAGAGAAAAGACTCGCTGCCAAGATCACGTTACACGAGTCCTTATTTTCGAGCTACTCGATGCCTAACTTTTGAACGAAAGTGTATAGCAAAGCGGCTACCGGTAAAGAAAGGTCCGTTCTTTCTCCTGTGCGCGCGATAACGAGCTCCTACAATTTCCTCGAGGTACAAGAACATGAAAGAAGAAAGGAGGAAGAGAGTATAATTTCTGATTGTGGGCTTAATAATGGGCCTCTGGAATAATCTCCTCCTCCGTTGGTTGGTTCGTTTAGTTACGCCTTGCAGTTCGATCCTTTTCGATCGAACGGGGTTACCCGGAACCGGAAATTACGCTATTCAGCCTCCATTATCTCCGTCATTTAGTTTTTCTAACGTGTCGACAATCACCGTTTTATATCGAAGAACGCGCATAGTTCGCTTTAATTACTGCGAATCGTGTCGTTATACCAAGTTAGCGGATTTGTGACGATGGGATATTTCTGATTGCGATATCATATTGATTAAATATCGCTCGTATCGAATAAAAGTATCAATAAATATCGATAAGCCGATAATAAATTAATAAACCTCCTCGCTTAATTTATTTGCACGTTAAGTTTTAATGGGAAAAACGATATTTATTCTCTGTTACGGTCTCTGTAATTCTATAGTATGGACATGCCTGTATATATATATATATGTTTATGTTGCTTACTTA